ATCGCTTACCTCAGGCGACTCGGGGCCAGCGCTACCGCTACCGCCCCCGCCAACCCCAGCGCTGCGCAGGCGCGAGTCGCCGCGCAGGCGCACGCCACCTTAAGAAGCCCCGCGCACCTCCGCACCTCTGCGCATGTGGACCCCATGGCGGAGGGCGTTACCACCAGGCTAATCGGCACTTGGAAAGCCAATCGCTGCGCAAGGGGCGGGCTTACGCCCCCCTTCCGTCCACTACCAATCAGGTTCTGGGAAACTGTACGGCGCGTAGCCGCACTAGCCAATCCCCTCGCGGCGGCGCGCGTACTTTTCCACGTAGCGAATCAGAGCGGGAGGCGCGGCCTGGCGCACAGTCAAGACGGCCAATCATCGAGCGCGGCTCCGTCTTGCGTGCCCCATGCCCTACCGCGTTCGAAACTCGGCCGCCAATCGGTGGGAAGGAGGCGACAGGCTGCGCCTGTTTATCGCCTAACGGTGCCTGAAGGAGGCAGCTCTCGGGCCGCTGCGGACGCCTCCTCGCGGGCTCCCAGAAATGCGGGTAGGAACCGGGCGACCCCGGAGGGCAACTGGCGGTGCCGGTGCCGGCGGCGCCGCTGCACTTGGCCGCCTCCCAGCGCCGCGAGGCCGCTTCTACCGCCCCGCCCCTTTCCCCGACGAGTGGCGGGGGGGGCCGCCCCACCCCCCGCGTGAGTTGGGAGGGGAGGGGGCCTGAGGGGGCCGAGTTGAAGGGAAGGAGTCACTTGTGAGGAGAGAGCGGACAGAACTGGGGAGGAGGTCGCTAATTGAGGGGAGGAGACCCTGAGGGGGCAGTCGTGGCGAGAGGGGGTCACTTGTGAGGGCGGGGAGTCCCTAGAGGGGGTTTAGCGTTCGGGGCGAGGGCGTTCCCTGAGGGGAGCGGGGCTTCAGAGCCCAGAGGCTCGTTGTCCCTTCTCAGGGTCCCTGAGGAAGTCCTTGGGAAGCCGGGAGACGGGGGCCTGGCGGCGGGAGGGGACGTGGGGACCGAGGCGCCCCGTCACCCCTTGGCGATCTGCGAGGAGCGGCAGCAATCGGATCTCGTTCAGGAAGGGATGCAGAACCGCGGTCTCCGGGTCTGTGCTGGCCCAGGTGTTCGCATCTAAATCAGCACTGATACTTATGAGTCAAAATACCTTGCAGCTTGGTTTTTTAATCCTGCTCGTTTATGCAGGGACTTGGCCGTATAAGGACTGTTCTGTGCTATGGAAACAATAGATGACATCTTAGCTGTTCCTCAGCCCAGTTATAGCTCACTTAATATTTTCTTTTTGTATTGCGAACAGACTTCTAATGAGGTTATGAAACGAGCCTGTGTCACAGCTAAGTCCCACCCATCTGCTGTGCTGCTGAGATAGGCCACCCATGATTTCATCCCGGGGAGACGGGGGTGACTGACGTAGCCCCCACCATTGCCATCCAGCTGCTTCTGAGACACTTGCAGCTTCTGCTTCATCTGTCAAGTCAGGTGCCTGATAAGCTTCTAGTTTTCCAGACTTCTGACCACTAGGAAAAGAAGAAAGGCTTTATTTTTACTTTTTTGATTTATCCCAAGAAGCTTTGCCAAAGGGATATGTGTATCTGTGATAGCTTCCTTCCAATGATTGTGTTTTCAGCCCTACCTAAAGGAGATAGCTTGAGGGCGTACCTGGAAAACATTTTATGGCTGAAGTCAAACAGGCTCCAGTAAAACAGGGAAAAATCAGACAGTTGTCCATCCATTTCCTTCTGGTAGAAATATTTTATACTTTGGAAACTATTCGTTAGACTTATATCTCTATGCAATTACAAATAATGAAAAGTTAAATCTGGGAAAGCCAGTAGCATGTCCTTGTAAGCCCTGTAAAGATAAATGGCCGTGCTTTGAAGGTGGTGTGCTTCTTTACGGCAGTAGGGATTTATTCTTAGTGTTATCACAGACTGCTAGGCTGATATTTCTTAATGTCTCTTTGTTCTCCATCCGTGAAATGATCGTAAGGTTTTTCTTCAGTGTTAGAAGAATAGGGTGAATAGGGTGAATTCACCAGGATGTAGAAGATGCTGAAAAAAGCACTGTAGAAGAACTAATTAATAAATGTATTTCAAGTGTTTTCTTAGTGAAAGTATTGAAACTGGAAGAATATTTTAGTCTCTCTACAGCCATTCTCGTAAACTGCTGCTTTGAGAGCTGTAAGACCATCGCACAAGTATTTTGTATTTATTTATTTATGATGCTTTCAGTTAACTAGCTGCTGTTTTTAGCTGCTGTGGGATTCCTGTTTGACTACTTTTTTTTTTTTTTAATTGGTAAGAAATGTAGTTCAAAACAGTTTCAAAGCTTTTTGAATTAATGCTATATAGTAATAATAAAACAAGCATTCTGTGAAAAAAACCTGAGCCAAATATTACACAAGTGGCAGAATTGGTCAACTGCAGTCTAACTCAGTGGGTCTCAATGTTATTTTTTGGGGGTGTGTGTTTCTTCCAGTGAAGGTGCAGATCCCTGTTCAGCAAATTTAAATACCCCAACAACGCTGTTCTACCTGGAATGTTTTGGATTCAGACACCCTTTACAGCCCAATCTAGATGTGTGATGCACAGCTAGGAAACTCTTTGACTCGTAGCAGCCCCAGCAAGTACAAGGCTGATTGAATAGCACCCGTTTGCAAGTATGGCGTAGGACAAGGAAGAGAGGTTGGTTGTGGAATGCTAGGACTTTCTGGGGTGGTTTGGCTGAAACAGCTGAGTCTTTAATCAAATTCTGTTTCTTAAAACACCAAAGTCAAATGGCTTTTTAAAATATGAGGGTGATGCTTACTTCT